AAGAAAGCAACCCTGGCTTAGAGCTCAGAGAGAAGCATGTGCTCCCTGGGGGAGGGGATGCAGTGGCTTTCTCCTTCCACTTTGATTGGGGGAGTCCTAAGCAGACCCAGGGCTCTGCTGGCCGGGGAGAGTGGAAAGGAGGCGAGCTCCATTGAGGATACTTCTATTACCAGGTGGCCATGAGCCCAGTTAACCAAACATGGAAGTTCAGGGTAAGGGGTCACTGCTCCTTGCCCCAGGCAGACTTCTCTCAACCATGTTCTCTATTCCCATCTGAAGCAGCTGATGAAGCAGTTTCGGGGATGCAGCTGGAATTGAGCTCAGCCCTGCCCTGTGGAGTCCCCTCACACCTCCTCCGCTGACTGGAGGTAGCACCACATAATGCCTCACCCACACTCCGAGGTAGACAGGCTCTCTTGTCTGATTGCCTGGGGTCAGGAGCCATTTGAATAGGACGGAGAACAGGAGTGGGTGAGGTGGGGAGAGTGTTTGAGAGGGTCAGGAATCACTGGCATCCCCAGCAAATGTTGGAGAAGGGACATTTACAATAACATACTTGGCTCAGGCCTGGATTCCAAGCCATCTGCCTGCATTTGGGGGCCCATTTCTGGGACTTTGAGGAATTAACATCTCCAGTCCCAGGGCTTCGGCCCTTTCCCTAGCACAGATGGCTCTCCGTCAGCAGGGAGGCGCGAGTGAGTCCTCACTCACCCATCACACAACTCACCTCCTCTTCAAGCCTTGGGATCCTCCTATGCAAAATGAGGGGTTGAAGCAATTGTTCTGTTTCAAGCCCTGGCCAGTGCCATCCACCATGGACTGTTTGCAGTCACACTGTGAAAATCGTGCTGAAGCAATCCTGTGTCAATCGACAGTGCCTGACCTACAGGGCACAATGACCTTTCTCTCTGTGCCTCAGCTCCTGCTTCTCGGAGTGGGGAGAGTAACAATCACCTGAAAGATTCTTGTGACAATTGAAAGAGAAAGTGCTTGGCAAATGGAAAGTTCTGTATTAATAGATCAGGACTGTTATTAACTTCTCCAGGGCTCTACTCTGGAATGAGGTCACAGCACATTCTGAACCAAGAATGTATAGGTTCAGTTCCTCTTGGGAATGCGGTCACAGAGCTTGCAGTTCCACAGTTGAACATTATCCACTTGCTCTTTTTATTAACTGAGGTTTGTTCTAAAACAGTGGTTCACAAAGGAAGAGATACTGACCCCTAGAGGACATTTTAGGAATCTCTGGGTGAGGTTTTGGTTGTTAATTGATTGGGGAGTGAGTCCTTTGGCTTTTGCTGGGGAGAAGCTGTCCCCCACATCAAGAATCACACAATTAAGAATCGCCCCCACATTCCACTTTTAAATGCCCCCCAGCCATTCAGATGGGTGAAAAATGTGATTACTATTACCTGAGCTGAGAACTACCTCTAATTTACACAAAAACAAAAAATAATTTTTGCACAGTTTTCTGGGAATGAATTTAGTGTGGACTGGTCATTATGGTGTTGGCTCAATGACTAAACAGTACGGCTGTATCCGTCGGTATTTGTAGCCATCACAGTCAAAGGAAGTCTGCATATATGCAAGCAATGTGCCACTTCACTGACATTTGTAGAGCAGTTGTGACCAAGTATTTGAGTATTCAAAAATTTTAAATCATTTTCTCTTCAATATTAATTAAGGTACTGACTTCCTTTACAGAGTAAATGTGAAGATATTTTCTGTGAACTCTATTTCAGAATAGTAAGCAAGTATTAACGACATTTATAAAAAGAAAATATTGATTGTGAAAGGGGTGAGAACCCCTCACACACAAGAGTTTGAGCAATTTGCCCAACTTGTTGTAAGTGAATCTATACTTGTGATAAAATCTCAAAAAATCTACACATACATACAAATGAGTTCATGTGGAAACTGGTGAACTCTGAATAAGGCCTGTGGTTTAGTTCCCAGTACCGTGCTAATACCATTTTCCTGGTTTTGATATTGTACCATCTATCCTTAGGTACCACGTTTCCATTGGGGAAGGCTGGATGAAAAGCACCAGCTGGAGACTTCTCTGTACTTTTTTTGCAACTTCTATATTTCTTCTTCTATAATTAGACTCACATAAATAAATAGTTTAAAAAATAAGTTAACCCTAGTTGGGTAGCTCATTTGGTTAGAGCACCATTCTGATATGCCAAGGTTGCAGGTTCAGTCCCTGGTCATGGGCACATACAAGAGTCAACCAATGAATGCATAAATAAGTGGAACAATAAATTGATGTTTCTCTCTCTCTCTCCCCCCTTCTCTTTCTCTAAAAGTTTTTAAAAATGGAAGATTTTTAAAAGCTTGTTCTAAGGATTGCATAAGATAATATGCCTAGTGCAATAGTTAAATACAATTGGCATTTCAGGGTATCGTATTTTCTTTCTTCCCCACTCTGAGGGTGACTATTTTCATAGTTATATAATAATTACAGCCCCCTCTGTTGTGTTGACTATGTGCCAGGTCTATTTTACATGCATTATTTCATTCAGTAAAGCCTATGAAGTATGTGCTTTTATTATTCCCCTTTGGCTGATAAGAAAACTCAGGAAGGGCTTTGCTCAAGGACACCCAAGTCTGACTGAGCCAGGCTGAGACCCCACTCTTAGAACTCCAGGGCCAGCAGGCCCACGGCTGCCCACCCACCCACACAGCACATCTTCCCTACAGGGGAGATCGCTGGTGCCCACAGGAAGACCTCTGGCTTTCTCTGTGCATCTCTCACCAACCTGCCCAGCTCAGGCACTTGGGGCCCAAGAGGTGGAAGTGGGGCTGGGGGAGAGTGCGGGCATGGTGGCCCTCTGCTGCAGGCAGTCGTGGGAGCCAGAGTAGTTGGGGCTTCCGAGAGGGCAAAGGCAGACCATCTGAACTCTGGCAGGAGTCGGGGGTGGGAAGGGAGGCTGCTTGTGTGAGGGGGTATGCATACCAAGCCCATGCTCCTGTCCCCCTCACACTCCCTTGAGTAACTTGCCCCTGAGCTTGGGGCACATTCTTGAAGGAGGTTGTCACGGGATTCCAGGCTCCCTCGAGCCCTAAACCAGTTTCTATTCCCCCTGGGACTGAAACCAACTCCCCCCTCAGCACCCTGTCCCCACCTGGTAATAATGTATGGTAGTGACTCACTCCTCTAGTTCTTGCCCTGTGGGCAAATCTCTCTGAGTCCAGGCGGGGATTGCTGGGGAGGGTCAGCGTGAGCCCCATTTCTCAGGGAGGAGATGGCTCCCAGGTATCTAGTGGGGGTTTTGACCCACATTTAGATGAGCCTGCTTGGCCCTCTCTCCCCATCCCTGTTGCACTCCCCCAACACCCCATCCCACCAAGCCAGTCAGCTGTGGGCCAGGGCCGTGGCAAAGCAGAGGGTCGGAGGATCGAGGACCCAGCCCTTGTCCTGTCACCGTCCTTCACCGCAACCACTCAGCCCGAGGGAGCGGCCCTACTGCTTGGGTCCGCGGGAAGTAGTGCCCTCGCGTGGCTTCCAGGAGAAGCGCATCTCGTCTCCCACCTGCTCCCTTTCCATGCGCCCATTGAACATGCACTGAGGACGGTGAAGATGACAAAATACCTGCTCTGTGGATGGTACATTCCACTGTGTGTGTGTCTGTGTGTGTAGGGGCAGGAAATAAACGATAAGCAAATAACGGATGGCAGTTACTAATAGTGAAAACTGCTGGGAACAAAATAAAACAGAGAAATGGGATGAAGAGTGACCTAAGAGGGAAACTCAGGATGGAAAAGGAAGGCTTCCTTGATGAGTCTCAGGTGATGGGGATCCAGCCATGTGAGGATCTGGGGCGGGGAGCTTTCCTTGCAGCAAGAAGAGCTACTGACAGCTCCTCAGGTAGGAAGAGGCTTTGTAGAGCAAAGGCCAGTGGGGCTGGAAAGCAGAGAGCGAAGGAAGCATGGCATGAGCTCTGGTCAGAAGGGTGGGCTGGGGCCAGGCTATAGATCTTGTAGGCCATGACAGATTTCAATTTTTTTTCTAGGAGTAATGGAAATGTATTGGGTGAGTTTTGAGCTCAAAAGTAATGTGGCTCAATGGCCTTTTATGAGGACCCCTGTGACTGCTGTGCGGAGAATGGACTTTGGGCACGGAAGGAAGAGTGCAAGTAGGGAGATTATTGGAAGAAATTCGAAAGCTATGGAAATAGTTCAGTTGAGAAATGCTGGCAGCTTGGATGGGGTTAGTGTTGGAGGTGCAGCGATGCGGCTGGGTGCTGGATATAGTCTGAAGGTAGCGTCAGCGGGGCTTGCTGATCGACCACATTCTCCTTTGCCCACTGAGCTCCAGGAACTTCTCCACACATACACACACCCTAGCTGGCTCCTCCATCCTCACCGGGGCATTCAGTTAGAGGGGCAGACCCCAGAGCCACAGTTAACGTGGGGAGCTTCCCGGTGTGGTCTGACAGAGGAATGCAAGACTCAGCCGTTGTGTTCTGCAGGAACTGCCTCCACTTTCCGTCACTTGCCCATCTTAATGGACCGGGCCTCTGCCTGCTGTCTCCCTTACCACGCCTGGCTTCTGCAGACCCAGTCATTTCTTAAGTCTCTGTCCAAATGAGTGACCTCAGGGTGTGTTGGTGACACCCAAAATAGTCCTGAGTGTTTAGTGTTTTTATTTGATACAGAGTAGGGGGCAGCATACTCTGGCAGTGTCAGTCCTCGGACCCTGGCCAACCGCTTACTACTGTCTGTTTACACAAAACACAGTAAGGTCAGACCTGATCCCACAGTAAAAGCACACAACACTTTGGCCCCAGCTAGGGTGTTTCTGGAGAGCCTGGGAGAGTTCAGGCTGGGCTTACAAACACCCTCAGGCCAGTGGGGGAGGGGGAAGCAAGAAAGGAGACAGTGACCCGGTTGGCTCTGGAGTCAGCAGGCCTTGCCCTGTTTGTGTTGTGCTGCACGGAGGTACATTATAAATGCAGCCAACCCCGGGGGCCCCTGGCCTCAGAAGCTAGGACTGCACTAGTGCTTAAAGTCTGTGCAAGCCTCACCAAGATGAGGCCGCAGGGCCAGGAGGAGTTTGATGGCCACACTGCTTATGATAATGTGCTCACAGGAGAGCTGGACAGTGGCCCTGGCTCTGGCCCCAGCCCAGACACTGACAGCCAAGGACAGGGGGTACCCAAGGACCCCCTGCTCTTCATTCAGCTGAATGAGCTTCTGGGCTGGCCCCAGGTGCTGGAGTGGAGAGAGACAGGCAGGTGAGTGAAACCCAGACCAGTTTTATGGGGTCCTTCCCCTCCTCAGCTGGGGCATCCCCCATGACCCCAGCTCTTCCTGTGAGGGGGTATTCTTACCCACGATCGGGAGTTCCTCTCTGTGTCCTCGTTTCAGGCCCTCGCCCTTCATGACACTCACCCTTCTCCATGACCCAAGCCCAGGGGTGACTCTCTGGGGAGGGGTGTACTCTGCACCGCTGGGCCCACGTCTCCCTCATTAACTTCCCTGTGTCCCCACTTCTGGACCTGAGAGAGATGCCCCAAATAACACTGTCTGCCCCCCTCTACTGCAGGTGGGTGCTGTTTGAAGAGAAGCTGGAGGTAGGTGGGGGCCGGTGGAGTGCCCCCCATGTGCCCACCTTGGCACTGCCCAGCCTGCAGAAGCTTCGCAGCCTGCTGGCGGAAGGCCTTGTCCTGCTGGACTGTCCAGCTCAGAGCCTCCTGGAGCTCGTGGGTATGCTGGGAGCCTTTGGAGGGAGGGCCTGGGTAGCCATGCCACCGTTTCTCTAAGATATCTCCCCAGAGTCTTGGAATTTTCCACACCCACCTTCGGGATTATCCATCCCTGACACAGCGGGGAGGTGGAAAAGCAGAGTGAAGAATCAAGTTCACTGGCTGCTCTGTCCCCTGTGATTCCCAGGAGGGAAAGTGACCTGGGCAGAGGAGAAAGGAGATTTCAGGGACAAGGAGCTGTCAGGAAAGAGTTGGATCCCACCTCTGTTCTCCAGAGCAGGTGACCAGAGTGGAGTCGCTGAGCCCGGAGCTGAGAGGGCAGCTGCAGTCCTTGCTGCTGCAGAGGCCCCAGCACCTCATCCGGACCACAGGCACTAGGCCCTGTCGGGGTGAGAGGCCCCTCCCTGGGCCCAGGCCCAAGCATCCTGGGGTGGCAGGGTCCCAGGTCTCCCCTGCACCTTCCTGGACCAGAAGAGGCCTACCCTTGGCTTAGACTGTAACCCAGGACTCACAGGTGGAGGGAGCAGGGGTAACGGTGAGGGGAGAAGAATGGAGGGACTGCTATCATAACGGCCAGAGCTCTGTGAAGGGGTGTTCTTGGTAAGCACTGCGCTGGGAGCATTGCACACGTGTCTCATTTAATCTTCACAAGTATCCTGTGCGGTGGTACCATAATAACGCCCACTTTAGTGGTGAGAAAACTGAGGCTCAGAGTGGGGAAGGGTGAGCTCCAGTTTTCACAGCTTGTCAGTAGCAAAGCTGGTCAGGGAACCCTGGTGGATCCATTCCGGAAGCCTGTGCCCCTAATCACTGCAAAATCCTGTTTTAAAGGATCTGCCCATCCAAGAGAGTCTTCCCATGATGAGGAAGCCCCCCTGAAGGAACAGGTTCGCGGCCCTTCCTTGGGTAGGGCTGGGAGAGGGGTCAGGGATTAATAGGGGCCCACCCCTCATCAGCCCGTATCCTGCCAACATCCCCTCCACAAATGACCACTCATCCTCTGTGTCTCTTCGAACCCCCACCCAGCGTCAGAATGCCCTGAGGCACAAGCTGCCTCCAGGGGCTGAGGCGGGGGCTGTGCTGGCAGGAGAACTGGGCTTCCTGGCTCAGCCACTGGGGGCCTTTGTGCGACTTCGGGATCCGGTGGTGCTGGGCTCTCTTACGGAGGTGCCCCTCCCCAGCAGGTGAGGCTGCTGAGTGGGAGTGAAGGATCCTGGAGCCCACTGGGGCCTTGGCTGGGGAGGGGACTGAGGGATGTCTGGTCCAGTCCTCTTGGGTGTGTGGGGGATGGTGCTCAGGGGTTGAAGAGGGTCAGGACTGCATAGTAGGCGTGCCCATGAGTGTGTGCATGGGGGCTGGTCAGGAGGTCAGAAGTCAGGGCTGCCCTATGGGATAGCAGCCTCTGACCCTCTCCGAGGCTCGGTTCCTTCCTCAGATTTTTCTGCCTCCTCCTTGGTCCCCCTACACTGGGAAGGAGCTATCACGAAATGGGCCGGGCCATGGCTGTCCTCCTCAGTGACCCGGTGAGCTGGACAGGTGTGGTGTGTGTGTGGACTCTGTGTGTGATTGGCTACAGCTGTGGGGCAGAGTGTGGCTTTGTGTCTGTGACCATGAGGACTGAAGTTTCCTTGGCTATGACTGTAGGCTCCTTACCTAGCACAGTGCCGGTGGACAGTAGGCACCCACAGGTCCTCACTGAATGCACACATGAATGAACGAGTGCTTCAGTGACTGGTTTGCCCATGTGACTCATGTGTGTCTATTTTTTGAGACTGTGAAAATGCATGTAAGAACCCAGACATGCATTTACTGCCACTCTGTGCCTGTCCCTAGCAATTCCAGTGGTCAGTGCGTCGGGCCAGCAACCTTCATGACCTTCTGGCAGCCCTGGATGCCTTCCTAGAGGAGGTGACAGTGCTCCCTCCAGGTCGGTGGGACCCGACATCCCGGATTCCCCCGCCTAAATGCCTGCCCTCTCCGCACAAAAGGTATCTGGGATCATCATGTCATATAGATCCTTCTCTCCCCACAGTCTTGGGTCCAGTTCCACTGTTGAGGAGGGGAGGAGACCCTAGGAAAGGAACAGGGACTTAACCTTGAATTTGGAGTCCGCTGGCAGGGACACGGAGCAGCCACCAGGGGGCAGAGCGCCATGAGGTCGGCGCCCAGTTGGCGACGGGTTAGAGATCCTTACTCAACCAGGGTTCCTTCCCTTCACCTCAGGCTCCCCTTGCAAACGCAGGAGGTCAAGGACTCCTCTGCCCCGCGAAGGGCCCGGGCTGAGGACAGGCACGGCCACCCGCAGCACACGCCCAGCCCGGAGTTGCAGCGGACAGGCAGGTGAGGCGAGCTGGGGTGGGCATAAGGGTCACGGTACTGGTGGGGGCGGGGGCGAGTCCCAGGAGCGGAGGGGTGTGTGCTCACCGTGAGGCGGGCTCAGAGACAGTAGTGGATATGGGGACGTAGGGTGTGGAAACCTGTATCATTGACGACTAGTGGGCGGGAGGCTGTTTGGGGGCCTTGTCCAGGACGTGCGGCGGAAGGCCTCGTGGTACCCCAGCGACTTCTTGGATGCCCTGCACCCCCAGTGCTTCTCGGCTGTGCTCTACATTTATCTGGCCACCATCACAAACGCCATTACTTTTGGGGGGCTGCTGGGAGAAGCCACCGATGGTGCTCAGGTGGGTGGGGATGTGAAAGGGGGACAGGTACGCGCTTGGGTATTGCTGCAGCAACGCCCTTTATCCTTCCCTGGGGCTGCAGGTGGGCTGAGGAGGCTCCCTGGAAGCTTGGGTCCCTGTGCTGGCAGTGCTGAGGACACCAGGGTCCTGTGCTGAGAGCTCCCGATTGGCTTCCAGGGGGTGCTGGAAAGTTTCCTGGGCACGGCAGTGGCTGGAGCTGCCTTCTGCCTCATGGCCGGCCAGCCCCTCACTATCCTCAGCAGCACCGGGCCAGTGCTGGTCTTTGAACGCCTGCTCTTCAACTTCAGCAGGTGGGACTCGCTCCCCTCCACAGCCTGGTCCTGGCTGCGCCAACAGGGAAGGGTGGATTGGTCCGGCTCAAGGGGCACCTGGCCTGGGTTAGGTGCGAGCAGAACAGCCCTGCCAAGCCCTGCCTGTCTCTCACCCCCAGAGATTACAGTCTGGACTACCTGCCCTTTCGACTGTGGGTGGGCATCTGGGTGGCCACCTTTTGCCTGGTGCTGGTGGCCACAGAGGCCAGTGTGCTGGTGCGCTACTTTACTCGATTCACCGAGGAAGGCTTCTGTGCCCTCATCAGCCTCATCTTCATCTACGATGCTGTGGGCAAAATGCTGAGCTTGACGCGTGCCTATCCCATCCAGAGGCCTGGCTCTCCCGCCTACGGCTGCTTCTGCCAGTACCCAGACCCTGGAGGTGGGTGAGGGAAGTGGGGAGCGTCGCAGGTGGGGCTCAGAGCTCTTCCCCACTCTGATTCTAAACCAGCTGAAAATGCGTCAACGGAGGATTGCTGACAATACTGATGGCAGAACGTGGCTGTATTTCTGGGCGCACGGGCTTTCTAACCACGAAACCAAAATGAGGCAGACTTATACCCACCCAGGCACGCAGCGCTGGACACGGACTGTCTTGCTCCAGAGGAGCCCAGGCAGCTTACTCCGGGGAGCAGAGGAGGAAGGGGCAGGGCCGTGCACGCCCAGTTTCTTCTTCAAACTCACCAATCAAATAAGTCACTGCTCTTCCCCTGAGTCTGGGCGACTGACCAGGTGGAGAGAAGCCCAGAGCGTTAGTTACACTTGCACATATCCCTCCGCAGAGAAGGAAACACCAGGCCTGGGGAAGAGATGTCCTCTCAAGAGCTCCAGGCTCTGTGCCAGGCGCAAACAAGACCAGTTCTGCCCCTGGTGGATGTGTACGCTCATCCACTGAGCAAATGCCTGCTGGGCGTCTGCTCTGGCCAGTCCTGTGCTGGGCACCAGGGACACAGACAGGCGAGAACCCGAAGGGGCCTGGGCACGAGGCAGTGTCCCGAGGGGCAGGCATGGTGGCGCTGGAGTCAGCAGACAGATGAGTCAGAACTGAGAACTTCCTGTTCAGCTGGACCCGTGAGATTAGGCTTCCGAGGGGCTGCAGAAGGTTCCCAGAGGAGGGACACACCCCCAAATTCTTCTCTGCTTCCCAGGAAATGAGTCTCAGTGGACAAGGACAAAGCCAGAAGACAGAGATGGCATCTTGAGCATGGTGAGAGCCTGTTTCTGGGACGGCCTGGGAAAGACAGGGTGGAGGCCAAAGAAGTCAGTGTCTCCTGGCTCTTTCCATCCCACGGGCCAGAGAAACCCTCGTAGGTCACCGAGGCCCAGCCCCTTGCGAGGGCTCGGGAGCCTCCTGTCCTGAGCCCTTGGTGTCTCAGGGGGCATCAGTGGATGTTTATGCTGCCGCCCAGGACCTCATCGCTGACCACCGCTCCCTACAGGACCTGGGCCTGGTCAACGCGTCCTTGCTGCCTCCCCCAGAGTGTGTCCGGCGGGGAGGCCACCCTCGTGGCCCTAGCTGTCATACAGTCCCTGACATCGCCCTCTTCTCCCTCCTCCTCTTCCTCACCTCCTTCCTCTTTGCCATGGCCCTCAAGCATGTAAAGACAAGCCGCTTCTTCCCATCCGTGGTGAGTGTCGGCTCCCTTTCTGTGGGAGGGGACTAGCTCTTGGCCTCAAGCCCTGCGTGTGAATGGGAAGGGGCACAGAATTGGGGTGATGGCAAGCCTGGACCTGACTGAGTGTCCATTGTGTGGCTAGGTACGCAAGGTACTCAGCGACTTCTCCTCGGTCCTGGCCATCCTGCTGGGCTGTGGCCTTGATGCCTTCCTGGGTCTAGCCACGCCAAAGCTCATGGTGCCCAGAGAGTTCAAGGTGAGAGCTGGGAGAGGGGAAGGCATGGCCAGCAGACAGGACCCTGGAGGAGGAAGATGCATAGACCCCACACTTCATCTCCTCTAAGCTTCTGTTTGCTCACTGATAAAATAGAAATAGTAGCAATAATGGCCTCACAGAGTTGTTGTGAGGATGAATAAGATGCTGCTCCAGACACAGTGAGTGCAGAATACTCAGGAGCTATGATTGTATGTACAGAGTTAAAAGGGTGGGATCCCGTCAGCCAGCCCTGGGTTGGAGTTCCAGTTCTGCTACTTCGTATCCATGTGACCCACATTTCTGAGCCTCAGTTTATTCATCTATAAAATGGACATAATAAATAACAATATATCCTACCCCATATCTGAAGTTTACAGATAATAATGTAAAGTACTTATCACAGAGTACTTACCACAACTAAATGTTAGCTAACTCACTGAATGTTAGCTATTGTCATGGTTCTCCCTAGCCTTGGCATGGCCCTACCCATTCTGTGACTCCCCACTCTCTGCTTGGACCCCTGGTTGCCTGCTCTGACCCAGCAAAGCTGGAGCTCCCTCCCTGAGCAAGACAGTGCACCGACTTGGCACCTAGGCTTTGCCTGTGCATTTGGAGACTTGCTTCCAGCTTCCTCCAGGACAGGACAGCAGGGACTCCAACTGAGGCAGCCTCAGGGACTCAGAGCGCAAGACAACTGGGGCCCTGTCCCCCACACAGATGGCTTATAATCAGAGCAGACGCAGACACACCTCGCCCTGCCCCTGCTCCAGGTCAAGGCAGGTCTGAGCCTGAGTCGCCCCACCCTGGAAGTTGGGGGGGGTGCCTAAGGAGGAGAGCTCTGTTCATTAAGAAGTATGGGCAGGCCTCATCTACCTCCTCCTCCCCTTGCAGGGAGGGAGGGACCCAGAAAAACAAAGTCCAGAAACACTGACTGGGGAGTCCCAGGCAGGTCTCCCTCCTTCCACCCTTTTTCAAGGTGCCGAGATGCTTTGAACCAGCTGTGCACACATGCGCACTGCTCCCACCTACCATCCAGGGTCTCGGCGGGGAGGGCTTGTGGTAAGGGGGATGTGGAAGAATGCCAAGTGTGCAGCTGAGGTGCTCTTGGGAGACCCTTTCAATCTGTCCATGATACATCCTCCCCCAGCCCACATTACCTGGGCGTGACTGGCTGGTGTCATCTTTTGGAACCAACCCTTGGTGGCTAAGTGTGGCAGCCGCCCTGCCCGCCCTGCTGCTGTCTATTCTCATCTTCATGGACCAGCAGATCACAGCGGTCATTCTCAACCGTGCCGAATATAGGCTGCGGGTAAGGCCTGCCAGGTAACATGCTAGGCCCCTGGACCACGGGACAGAAGCCCCAGGGTGGGTTCCAGGCTTTCCCTCTCCCACCCCTCAGGGCTAGCCTGGGCTAGCTTCATCCTCCTTGCCCCACCACGACCTGCAGAAGGGAGCTGGCTTCCACCTGGACTTCTTCTGTGTGGCTCTGCTGATGCTGCTCACATCGGCACTTGGGCTGCCCTGGTATGTCTCAGCCACTGTCATCTCCCTGGCCCACATGGACAGTCTTCGGAGAGAGAGCAGGGCCTGTGCTCCGGGGGAGCCACCCAGCTTCCTGGGCATCAGGTGAGGCCAGTATTCAGGAGGCCGGCACGAGAGGCGGGCAGCAAGGTGGGGTAGCAGGGGACGAGGCAGAGTCATTTGGGCAGCTGAAACTCTAGGCTGGTGACTCCAGAGGGCTCTCTCACTGCCCCGTGACCACTGCAGTGGGATGAATGGGTGGGTTCTGGGCTCTGAGTGTGTCAGATCTCCCCTCTCTTCCTCCGGCCCTGGGGCTGGGAGGGCCCTCAGAGGAGCGTCACTGAAGTAAGGCTGGAGGCAGCCAGGGCTAAGCCAGTGGGAGGTGCCCCCTAATTAACCCCACTCAGTGCAGAAGCGCCTCATGGATGTTACAAAGTAGCCATCACAAAAACAATTTTGTAATTTTTGGAAACATAATCTGCCCAAAGTATGTGAAATTAACTTTGTAAACTGAAATGAAACTCTTCACCCCAGTGTAAAAATTGCTAATTTTGCAACAAAATAAAAAGATAAAGATAAAAACAAAGAGCAACTATGACCTTGAATTGATGAAGAGGCTTGGGACCCTCCTATTGAAGTGCTCTGTCCCTGTGTCTCCACTGGTTTCTCACACCAAGCTAAGGCCGCCAGGGTCTGCAGTGGTGTCTGGCTTGGGTCTTCAGCCTGGGTGCCCCCGGGGCTCTCCCAGGCCCTGGCTAACTTCCCCTCTCCCCACAGGGAGCAGAGGCTGACGGGCCTGGTGGTGTTCATTCTCACCGGAATCTCCATCTTCCTGGCACCTATACTCAAGGTACCTTTGTTAGGCAGGCCGGCAGCAGGGCCTGTGTAGTAATAATAAGTGCAAGAACCGACACTGGCTGAACTCTTACTGCATGTTCAGTTTCTCCATACCTGGACTCATTCAACCCTCGTGTTAACCCTGTGATGCATATGTCCTTTACAATGAGGAGCCTGAAGATTAAAGAAGTTAAGTAGCTCACAGAGATCACCAAGGGAGCATTTCTCAGATCTGAGAACCCAAACTCTTTCCCAGTGGGTTTTCTCCCCAGTGGACAGGGTGCAGGCATGCCCCGCTCCACCCGCCCAGGGGTTAAGCACTGCCCTTGCTCCAGCCCCCAACAAGCCTTAGACTCTGGGTGTGATCATCACACCCCAGAAAAACTTGGAGGTAAAAGCCTGTCACTTCTCCCTCACCAGGTGTTTATAGAACACCTGCTGTGTGCAAGGCTCTGCTAGGCACCTGGGAGAAGGGGCCGGTGGGGGAGAGGGGGTATTGAAAAGGACTATAGAACCAAGCTTCCATCAGCAACACACACACATGAACAAAAATTACATAACGAGCAATAACAGAGAGGTGCAGTGAGCTGGCAGCTAACCCGTCAAGGAGGGCGTGGAGATGGCACACAAGAGTCACTGGCAGGACCACAGAGGCGAGGGGAGGGAAAGGTCGCAGGGCCTGGGTGAGAGTGGAGTAGTGGAAAGAGCCGGATGGACCGGATTGGCGGCTTGCTGACTGAGTGACTCTCATTCCTCATGCGGCAGGTGCTTATTGAGCATAGTGCATCTGCCAGGCACTGCCCAGGACTGGGCTCATAGTAGCAATTAAAAGAGACAATCCACTTCTTGCAGTCTGGTGAGGGGAGACAGATTTTTTAAAAATTTTAAACCCCACAATAAAATAGGGTAATTTCAGAGAGTGAACACTTCTGTGAGGAGTAAAAGAGAGTCAGGTGATCGGGGATGCCAGCTGTCTACTTTAGATGACCAGGGAAGGCCTTTCCGGGGATCCTAAGATGCTCAGTGATGAGCAGTGAGAAGGAAGACAGGGCATTTTAGGTGGAGGAAAGAGGCAAAGGAAAAGGCCCTGCCAGGGGCAGAAATAAGTTCGGGCACGCTGAGGGAAGGACAAGAGGTCAGTATAGCACGAACAGAGAAGGCAGAGAGGAAAGTGATAGATAAGGTCGGAGAGATCAGCCAGGTAATGGGCAACTTACTAAGACTCTCTGAAACCCACTCTCCTCATCTGTAAAACGGAGCCAATTACGTAATTTACCTCATCTGACTGATGTGAAGATTCAGTGAGATCAGGCATGCAAAGAGGGAAAGGAAGGCGTAGACCTGGGTAGGCTTAGATGCTGGATGCTGGGGTTGGTCCCTAACGTGGGGGACCTGGGCAGCTGGCAGAGGTAAACTCCTTTGCTGCCTCTCCACTTCTTCCTACCAGTTCATCCCAATGCCTGTGCTCTATGGCATCTTCCTGTACATGGGGGTGGCAGCAATTAGCAGCATCCAGGTGAGCCCATTAAAATCACCATGAAGCCCCACTCCTCCTTCCTTTCCTGCTGGTACTCCCTGCCTGCACTGGCCAATTCCTCCCATGCCCTCTTTTCCTGTTTCTTCTGGGTACAGGGACTCTGCTGCCATGCTCTGGGTGAGGGGGGACCAAGGCCGTCCTCTGACTCCCCGGTGCAGAATTTCAATGGGGAACAGTGACACTCTCCAGGCTACCCACATACCCTGCTTTCCTCCTCCTCTTGTCCCCCCCAGTTCACAAAGAGGGTGCAGCTGTTACTGATGCCAGCAAAACACCAGCCAGACCTCCTGCTCTTGAGGCATGTACGTCTGAGCAGGGTCCACCTCTTCACAGCCATCCAGCTTGCCTGCCTGGGTCTGCTTTGGATAGTCAAGTCTACACCTGCAGCCATCATTTTCCCCATCATGGTGACTCAGGGGTGGGTGGTGTCCCGAGGGTTCCTGGGAGACTCTGAGTCTGGGAGGGTGGCCAAGGCCTCCGTAAGAGGAAGGCTCTTCCCTCTTTCACTTGCCCTGGCTCTGCCTGGTTGGGAATCCTAGAACAAAGAAAGACGGCCAAGGGATGCCTACAGGTGCGCTGATGGAATGCCTGGTTTGACTTCTTTCCTAGCCTCTTCAGGCTGGTCGAACACAGGTCGGGATATAACCTCCCCCCACCAAAAAAAAACCACCCCAAAAACTAAGGCCCTGGGAAAGGCAATGCTGCCACTTCTGTTACTTAGGGAGGCGGTAACACAGGTGGCTTCTAGCCCTGTTCCCACTCACCGAGGAAGTTACGATCCATGGGCTTTGCAGTAGGACCAATCTGGTCCTGGCTGTGTGACCTCTAAGAAGTTCCTGAACTTTCGGGCCTCACTTTCCCTCTCTGTGTAATGGCAATAATTATCATATCTATCCCACAGGAATATGTTAGCACTCAGCGAAATGACGCGCACTGCCTAGCACACGGAAGTGCTGAGTAGATGTGATTGTCGTTAGTCTTCCTGAGCTCTGTGTCTGTGCCTGCAGCTGCTGGGCCTGGTGGGGGTCCGGAAGGCACTGGAGTGGGTCTTCTCGCCACAGGAACTCCTCTGGCTCGATGAACTGATGCCAGAGAAGGAAAGGAGCACCCCTGAGAAGGGGCTGGAGCCAGAGTGCTCCTTCAGTGGGAGCGAGAGTGAAGAGGTGGGCTCACGACGGGCCCTCGATGGAGAAGGGGACACTGGGGAAAGCACTGTCAGCCAGGAGTGGTCCCTAGAGTCTAACATTTCCATTAAGCCTGAGGACTTTATCAATACAGTCGCTCCCCTTAGCTCTGTATTGACACAGGCACACTGAAGGGGTGAGGGAAATCTTTTTTCTTAGGGCAGGGGTCCATGGGGTGGAAATACCTGGGGACACAGGTCTAGTGGGCTTTCTCAACCCTGGTCTTTGTTACAGTGTGGGTATATATCCTTTCACTCTCTGGGTCCCTTTCTTTCTGCTGTCTCTGGTGCACACGCGTGCATGAGTGTGTGTGTGTGTGTGTGTGTGTGTGTGTGTGTGTGTGTGTTGTCTATTCAAAACTCATCTTGAGATCTCTGTTCCACAGTCAGAGCTGATGTATCAGCCAAAGGCTCCGGAAATCAACATCTCCGTGAATTAGCTGGAACTGAGCATGAGGTGAGGGTGTGAGGGAAGGCCCCCTGGTGTCGAGAGCGGGGGTGGGGATGGGAGCTCAGACCTAGGAAACTTCTGGTGTATTGACAAGTCCTGTTTTCTCTTCATGCTCCAGTCCTCAAGAGCCCCGGAGTCCAGAAGAGGGTAGAACAGCTTCTCCAAAGGGAAGAAAAAACAAATGCGAGTGCCTGGGCTTGGCTCCCCTGGCGATAAAGTATGGCCAGTAGAGGGAGCTCAATGTCATTCCGAACTGAATGTGGAATTTGGAGGTGGGGAAGGGAGGGACACAGGGACAGAAGACGGGGAGAGAGAGGGGAGGAGGAGAGGGAGGACAAATCTCCTGGCTGCTTTCCTTTGCTTTTGGGGGCTCCACCCTAGGCTCCTGAGAACTACACTCCAGACCAGGGGAGGGATTCTCTGCCACTTGCCCTCTTTGCCATTTTTTCATTATATTCATCCACTTATCAAAACAGCTTCTGAGTACTTACGAAGCACTAGAGATTCAGCAGTTAAGACAATCATGGTCCCTGACCTTGGGAAGTTAAAACCCCAGTGGAAAGGACAAACAGGCAACTTGCTAGAGTAGGGTAGGGCAGGCTGTGTGAACACAGGCCTCTAAGCCCTTCTAGGAGGGCAGTAAAAGTGGGGTGGTGGGAGTGGGGGAGCCTGCAAAGAGGAAGTGGTCTCTTCCTGACCATGTGGTTGGGTGTCATCCAGCAAGGCAAAGGGTCCTCGGTTCGATCCCTGGTCAGGGCCTGGCGCTGCGTTCGAGAAGCAATCAATCGATGTTTCGCTCCCATTGTTTTCCCCACCCTTCCCTTCTCTCTAAAAATAAATAAATAAAATCTTAAAAAAAAAAAAAACAGAGGAAGTTGTCTATAGCTTGAAATCTGAAGAATGAATAGAAGCTAGACAGGACAAGCTGAGGGCACAACATATACAAAGCCTGGAAATCCCTCCCCCATAAGCTGTGTTTCGGGCCACAGAACACCCTCTTCTCCATGCGTCTTAGAACCCAAGAAAGAGCTCACCACTGCAATAGAAAATTCGGGGGCTATGGGGAGATTCAATGGCTGGCCCAGAACAAAATCTGGGCTGTCCTTATCCCCTGTCAGGCTTCACTCTGGTTTTTGCCCCACGCTGTACCCAAGCGCTTGCTCTGACCCACAGTGTCTTCTCTCAGTCCACAGGTGTTCACTCAGGAAGTCAGGGCGATGTTTGCCTTGGCTTTACTGCCAGAGGCTCAGTCAGCTGGGACCTGGAACAATGGTTCAAGGCTGGAAGGCAGCTGGCCAAGACCTCAGTCACCCTCCCGAGCTGGGGTGGAGAGCAGCAGAGAACAGGCAGGTCTGCTTTGTGGTTAGGAAAGGCTGGTAAGCCGGAGGACTGACCAAGTCCCATTCACGCTCTACCCGACCAGGGGACCTGAGTCCAGAAGCCCTTCCCATTTTGAGCTTGTTATCCTCACAAATCCTCATTTACAGAATTGATGGGTCATAGGGAACTCTTATCAGCTTGCAAAAGGGAGACAAAGTCCCTCTTTCTAAAATAAATATTCCTCTATTAGAAACTTTTTTTTTCAAATAAAAATACAGAACTATATACTTGTGAAATGGAAACCATCCTAGAGATAACCAGGTTCACACTTGGGTGTATATTGTTCATTTTTATTTCGATGGACACATTAATATTTTTATTAAAACAGGGTTACACCATTGAGTTCTTTAACATGCTTATCACTGAATATGCATTAGATATTTTCCCCATGTCAGTGTATGTGTGTGTGTATATATATAAAATATATATATACTGATCTATATCTATATCTATATATCTACCTCATCCTTTTTTGTCATCTGCATAGAATAAATAACCTTTACATTGAAGGAGATATCATATATACAAAAGAATATATAAATGTCTTTGGAAAATGCAAGAATTTCTCCAGAGTATATACCTAGCTGTGAAACAAAGAGGGATGATAAAAAGAACACTTGTGTGTCCAACACTCACATTATGAACTAGGGTGTTTCTAGTCCTTCAGAAGCCCCTCTGAATGTTCCTCCCAGATTCCACCCCCAATTCCAGGTAAACGCTATCTAAATTTTATGGTAATTATTTTCTTGCTTTTCTTTGTAGTTGCACATCCATTCCTGTATTTTTATGTATTTATTATTTGGTCTATTTGTGAATGTTATATAAATGGAATCATTGTGAATGAATTTTTTGGTGACTGCTTCTTTCACTCAACATCGTTTTGTGAACTAATCACGTGGATGCAGGCAGCCGTGGTTTGTTCGTTTCCACTGCTGCTTGCACTCTATGGTATGGCCACCCCAGGGTAATGACCCATTCTTCTGTTGACTCACTGGCGAAGCCATCTGAACCTGCTGCTTGCTTTGTGGAAAGTTTAAGATGATTCAAATTCCTTGATGGTTACAGGATTCATTCTAAAAAGTAAAGACTTGTTGTTTTTTTTAGAGCAGTTTTAGGTTTGTATAGGATTCTCAGACTCTTTATTTCTTCTTTAGTCAGTTTTGGTAAATTGCATTTTTCTACAAATCTATGCATTTCATTTTTCATATTTATTGGCATAGAGTTATTTTTTATCTGCTTAATATATGTAGCACATTTAGCTATTTAGATATGGTTCCCTTATTATTTTAAATATTATTGTACATTCTATTTTTTGTTCTTGGTTACTCTAGCCTGAAGTTAGTCTATTTTACTAATATTCTCAAATAGCTAATTTCTGGCTTTATTGATTTTCTCTACTGAATATTTTTCTATGTTGTTAATTTCTTCTATTATTTCCTTTCATTTTCTTTTGGTTTATTCTATTGTGTTTCTAACATCTTAGATCATTGTTTTGAGTCTCACTGGTAGTTACCTCCTACCCCTACAGCAGTTAAGCACTACATTTCCTTTAAAGGACTCCTTTATCTGCACCCCACAGTTCCCATACGGTGTTCTCATTATCATTGCTTTCTGAGTATTTTTTAATTTTTACATGATTTCCTCTTTGACCCAAAAGTTAAGTGCATTTTAAAATTTTCCAAATATATATTTTCCCTTTAATTATCTTTCTGTAAGTGATTTTTAACTGAATTGCATTTAGAGATCTGTGGGGCTAACTTTATGGTCTGCCATATGGTCATTTTTAGTAAATGTTACATGTGTGCTTGAAAATGTTTATTCTCCAATTTCTGGAACAGTTTTCAATCTATTTCTATCAGGCTAGCCTACTAATTGTACTGTTCAAAATGTTCTATATATTTCATGACTTTTTCTGATCTGTTTAAACCATGAAATAACAAATAGGTATATCTGTTAATACACCTATGTGATAATGAATCTGCCAACACCTGCTTGTAAATCTTTTAACTTTGCCTTTATTTATTTTTTAAAGCTGTGTTATTGGGTGCTTTCTAGTTTAAATCATTCTGTCTTCCTGGTTAACTGATCCTTGTGCCATTCTGTAATGGTCTTACATTGTGGTGACCGGTAATGATCTCTGCTTAAAAGTTATTTGGTCTGCTAGCAAAATAGTTAAATCAGTTTTCTTTTGGTTAGAATTTACCTATATTATATATTTATATTATTTGAGTTTCAGTCTTTCTGTGTGTTCTTATTTTTAAGTATATCTACTATAATCAGCACATAGCCAGATTTCATTTAAAAAAAAATCCAATCTGACAATCTGGCTTTTAGTTGGAAAACTCAGTACATTTACATTCAGAGCAATTACTAATATATTCGGTTTTGGTTTATTTGGTTTTTCTATTGTCCTGTTTTTCTATTTCTTTTCCCTTTTCAATTTTTCTTGCCTTATTTTGGATTGATTGAGCTATTTTTGTCTTTTTCTTTTCCACTTTACCCCCTCTACTCATTTGGAACATGAGAAAAAGGGAAGTCAAGGATGATTCCAGTGCTTTTGGTCTAAGCAATGAGAAGGAAGGAATTGCCACTCACTGAGTTCATATCAGGGCATTTTAAGTATGATGCCTTTTAGATAGTTAAGCAGAGATGTCAAATAGGCAGCTGGACCTGCAGGTCTGAAGATCAGGGGACAGGTATGAACCAGAGACAAAAATTTGTAAGTTTACTGCATCTCAGTTATATTTAAAATGGACTAGATAAGGTTGCCAAGGTTGTGGATGAAGTTAAGACGCAGGGATCAAATCTTGGAACACTCCAATGTTAAGAGCTGGAAGGTTGAAGAGCAACTAGGAAAGGAGGAGACTGAGAAGTGGGGAGTGACACCAGGTGAACATGGTGTCATCCTTGAAATAAAGAAAATGTTTCAAGGGGAAGTATTTCTCGTTACTGTTTGCTTTGGAGTCATTCTAACTCCTTACTTCTATGCCAGTTCATGTAGATTTTTTAAAAACATTTTTTAAAAGATTTTATTTATTTTATTTTTAGAGAGGGAAGGGAGGGAGAAAGAGAGAGAGAGAGAGAGAGAGAGAGAGAGAGAGAGAGAGAGAGAGAGAAACATCGATGTGCGGTTGCTGGGGGCTGTGGCCTGCAACCCAGGCATGTGCCCTGACTGGGAATCGAACCTGCGATGCTTTGGTTCGCAGCCCGTGCTCAATCCACTGAGCTACGCCAGCCAGGGCTCATGTAGGTTTTTAAAGTTAAAATTATATTGAACTTAGCATTTTATTGTTTTAGTTAGGAGGTTGTTCAGAAATTTAAATCTATACAATGACAAAAGAAATTCTGATGGCCCTTTTTGATGTTACAAAGAAAGATCTAACATGATAATCTAAGCATCTACTGACTAAGAGAAATACATACCAAAAGTATTATTTAAATTTAGATAATTGCACATTTACTTACTTCAACAGCATCTACACATTGTTGAAAATACCTTCATTTATATTTGCTTGTTTACACAGTCAACAAATACTTATTGAACATCAACAATGTCCTGTCAGGTAAGGTTTTTGACTTCATGGAGCTGACATCATGGTGAAGGAGAGAAGTCATAAGCAAAAAAATAAGATAATCTCAGATGATGGCAGTACTCGAAAGAAAATAGAACAGGGTAATATGATAGGGACTGGGAAAAGACATTATTAAGATGGATGTTTGGGGAAGGCCTCTCTGGGTAGAAGACCTTCAGGTTGATACCTGTGTGACAAGGAACCGGGCAAATTATCATCTGCCTGCAGTCAAGGTGTGGTAAACACATACATGAATTTAAGTGCTCTGCTGTCCTTGGATGGGGAACCCCTGTCACAAGGGAAAGTTTGAGGTCACCACTGCCTTCAAACTTAGCCCTTGCTTGCTCCATCCAGGCCGTGCGAGCCTGAGATATTCCCTTCCTGGCACTAACTCACAGACTTCAGTTTTCTGTCAGTAAAACAGGGCCAAAAGCCTAGATTCTAGGGTACTTCCAGGGTTAATTGCTGCCTGTAACATTCTTTAAGATCTTTAATTAAAAGACTCAGGTCTGCATAGAGGGTTATTAGAGACTTCCAAACCCCAGGGAAAATCTCGCCCTATCAGTAACCTAGGCCCATCCTTCCCAGCCTGTAGCTGTTGGACACGGGTTCTAACACTTTTGTGGGCATTAGAATCAGAGGTTGTTATAATATGAATTCTTAGGCTTTTTGTTTGGATTCTGGGTTTTTGTCTTAGTTCTGGGTTCTTCTATCCCTTTATCCAGGGTCTCATGCTTTTCAACACTCTAGATTTTTGTCTTTGCAAATGGACTTGAGTGTGCCCTTGTGCGTATATAATATGATCTGAGACATCTTTGGTCACTTTTCCCAAAGCAGTGCAGGGCAGAGATTGGAGGAGGCAGAAATGTG